CTACAACCTATTTTCTCCAATGCCAGAAACCGCCTTAAACCTCCCTCCTGCCAAAAAGTGCAAGGAACGCAATTTTTTTGCAACCAAGGTAATGTTGATCTGTTCAGCTGCCTTTGCTGCTAATGTTCTGCCCATGCTATCCCCAACACATCCTCAGAATCCCACACTTCTTGTCTGTTTTTGTATATCTCCCTACATGCTCCCTACAAAGATACTCCTCATACCCCCACTTCCCAGTCTCTCAACCTCACTGTGTTGACCCTATCTTTTATTCCCACGTAATGCTGGCCCATGACTGTGGTCCTCCCTGATTAGCTGTCAGCATTGAAACTTAAAATTCTTCACCCCGTATTTGAAGTCTTTGGCCTGACTGCTCCCTATCTTCTTAACTACTCCAGTGTTACAATGTATGTTCCTCCAACTCAACCATTTTGTTAATTATTCTCATTTAGCTATTTGATGATTTGGAAGTCCCTTTCTCTACTCCCCTTCTTCCCACCCATCCACCCCTCCTTATGACCCTTCTCTAAATTTTACAAAGGTTATTTGACGGAGTGTGCGTGTCGCACAAGTATTTTGTTGCCCGTTCCTCATTGCCCATGAGAGAGTGGTGCTTGAGTTGCTACAATGTATCTGGTGTAGGCACATCCACCATGCAGTTAAGAAAAGAGTCTTGAAGGTTTTAACTGAGTGATAGTGAAAGAACGTAGTAATTCGAAGTGAGGATGGTGTGTAGCTTGTAAATAAACTTGCACGTGTTGGTATTCCTATATGTCTGCTGTTTTTGTTCTTCGAGATTGTAGAAATTTTGGTTTAGGAAGGTGCTATTGGTGTGTGGAGTAATTTCTCAAATTAAATAATTTAACCTTACTGAAGAGAGACCAAGGTGTGTGCACGGGCTTTTGTGATTTATATATATTGTTTAGTATGTTTTTATTTTTATATTTATTTTGGATGTTTGATATATTGAACAAGTGGCATAAGAGTCTTTTCCTGTGTCTTTGGTCATAATTTTGAGCACTTCAATACGGTCACCTCTTAATCTTCTGTGCTCCATAGAGAGTAAGACAGTTTCTCTAATCCTTTCTTGTATCCAAAATCCCTTATTCCTGGTATCATTCTAGTAAATGATTGATGTATGTCAAGTAACCTATTCATAATGGGAAGTCAATTGTAAGTTTTGAGGAACAAAGCATCAGCCATTCCACTGACACAGAATCATTTGTTGTTTCCTCCAAGTTTTGTCTATAATAAAGATTGGTATAAAATTCAAAATCATATTCTACACTTGTGAGAGATGGTCCTGGGTTAATAATATAAATCAATCGGTAGGTTGGAGGGAAATGCAGACTTCCAGAGGAAATTGACTGATTATGATACTTTCCATTTGTCAAATAATATTAAGTTTTTTCTTACTTGATCAGTGCTATTTTGTACAAAGGTTTTGTAGTATGTTCAGATTAATTTTTATTTTGTCGGAATGACTAATCCTATGATTAAATAATTGTACAAGTCCGTTGATTCCCCTACTTAAAACATTATGGGAATTAATAACATTCCATGTGATTTTCATCCAAGTTTTACAATCTTTTATGAGGAGATTTTTAAAATTTCTCTCCTTCTAAGCTGATCTCTTACCACTACCGTTTTTGTGCCCATAAACACCAATAATATTGCACTATACTGCAGAATGCTTCAGTTTCAAAATTAACAAATGCTTTTGACGAGCTTTTTATTGTGTTATATTTAAATGGGAACAATAGTACATGTCTACAAGTTATATAGCACTTTAATGAGTTTCATTGTAGTAGAAGAAATGAGTGCCAGTATAATTATTTTAATTATTTTAACCCTTTTCCATTAACCGAAGGAATCATCATTTCATTGCAAAAATGAGAAAGATGAAGCTAAAATAGTTTTGAGTCAGCTTTTATGTGAGTACTAAAATGCTGCTTTATTGGTTCTTGTCTACTTTGCACTGTACCTTTGAACTGGGAGTGCCTCAGTGAGGCTGTAAAGCAGCCTCTCCCAAATTAAATTTATGTGGACTTGACTAAAACTGTTGCTCTGGACCATATCTATTTTTCTTTGGGACTGGAGCAGTTACAATGCAAACTCTACTCAAATTGACACATGTAGTACCGGAGAGAGACTTGGCCGTGGTGACTTTGTGCAATCTGCCTTTGTTATTAGGAACAATAATACCCAGAAACTGGATTGCAAACTGTGCAGTCTGAGTGTGTTGCCAATTTTCCACGTGCATTGACACTGTTCAGTGAGCTGATGTGCTGGAATATTTTTGCTTTCTAGCATTTTTTTTGCTGAGATTTTCAAAATTATTTGGAGTAAAGCTAAAAAAAATTAGTAAAGTTAATTTCATGTAGTGCTTTTCTTAATTTATACTTGACCATCCCCTGTAACATTGCAAACGATTTCAGATGAAGCAAATACTCAATTGAAGAAGGGATAAAGCAGGGATGAAGTTAGTTTGTGTGCTTGGCTGTAATTTGGTCCCCATTTTAAAATCATGCATTCAGTGATATTTATGTAAATTGACTTCACATTTATAATTAATATTCTCACAACGATTTAGAAATAAAGAACTACACTTTGTTAGAGCATGGGATTTTCTCCAGGACAGGCTGACGAACTAGTAGAGGCAAAACTCAAAATGGAATCTCTATAAATTTGACATTCCGTATTTGTTCCCTCCCACCAATGGTGGTATTGTAACACTTAAGTGTGGACATTGAAATTTTTAGCATAATCTGACACATCATAACTAAACTGTAATTATTGTTGTGTAACATTTGGATATTGTGATACCTGAAGGATGTGAATACATTGAAGAGAGTACAAAAATGATTTATGAGGATATCGCCAGGACTTAAAAGTTTTGAGCCATGAGGCAGCTGAGGAGAGACTTAATTGAGGTGTATAAAATTATGGGAGGTCTAGATAGAATGGATAGGACAGTTCTGTTGCCATTAGCAATGATGTGAAAGGATTAGAAGGGAGTTGAATATTTTTCTTTCATCCAAGGAGTGATGGAGGTCTGGAATTCATTTTCAGAAAGTGTAGTATAGGCAGAAGAATTTATCATCATTGAACAAAAAACACTTTGATATTTGGATCTGTACTTAAATAAGCGACGTTTAGAGGGATATGGGCCAAACGTAGGCAAATGAGAGTTGTTCAGTTTAGGAAACCTGGTGAGCATGGATGGCTCTATGACTTCAAATGCGGTTGAGGAACAGTAGGCAGCAAGACTAGATGCCAAGAAGTGGAGGATGGGATGAGGCTGAATAATAGTGCTTTATTCACAAGCATAGGCATGATAGGCTTGTCCTGGGTAGTTCCATATTAGATTTGCAAAATTCTCTAGCTATTTGAGTATTTTCAATGAGGTAAAATGCTGAAGCTGTCTTGTAAAATCTGGTGTACCATATGGTACTCTGCTTCTTATGGTATTCAGTGCTTTTCTGATGTTCCATAAGACTAAATCAAAATTACTACTGAAGTACTCCTTATCCATTGCTAGCATCACAGAAACAGTGAATCTTGTTTGAAGCTAAAAGTGAGGCTTTTTTTTTAACTTGAGTGTAACAGCGCTTTTTCCACACCGGTAATATGGGAGTAACTTAAACAAAAGACAGCCTTCCCCATGATTTAAACAAAAATTAATTCGGGTGATGTACAATTCACGGCTGGACCAGGATTTATTGCCCATCTCTAGTTGCCCTTGAGGACGTGGTGGTTAGCTACTTTTTTGCACTGCTGCACTCCATGTGCTGTCAGTAGACCCACATTGCTATTATGGAGGATGGAGTTTGATGATTTTGACCCAGCAACGCTGAAGGAACAATGATATATTTCCAAGTCCGGATGATGAGTGGCTTGGAGAGGAGCTTGCAAGTATCTACTGTGTATCTACTGCCTTCTGCATGGTGGTGACTATGGATTTGTAAGATGCTGTCTAATAGGCCTTGGTGAATGTCTGCAGTGCATCTTATAGATGGTACACACAACTGCTACTTTGCGCATTGGTGAAGGGAGTGAGTGTTTGTGAATATGTTGCCAGTCCAGTATCCTGGATGGTGTCACACTGCTCGAGTGTTGATGCAGCTGCGCTCATCCACACAAGAAGGGGGTATTCCTTCACAGTCATTACTTGCGTCTTATAAACAGTGGGCAGGTTGGGACTGTCAGGAGGTGAGCTACTTGCAACAAGATTCCTAGCCCCTGACTTTTTGTAGCCTCAGTATGTATGTAGCTAGTAAACTTACGTTTTTGGTCGATGGTAAGGCCTAGGATGTCGATAGTGGGAGATTCCGTGATGGTAATATCATTGACTGCCACGGTGGATGGGTTTGGTTAAATTTCCTCTTATCAGAGATGGCCATTGTGTGGCATCAGTTTGGCACAAATGTTACTTGTCACTTCTGAACCTAAGCCTGAATGTTGTCCATGGCATGCTGCATATGACAAGTACTACTTCAATACCTGAGGAAATCTAAATGATGCTGAACATTGTGAAATGATGCCCACTTCTAACCTTATGATGGAGGCAAGGTCATTGATGAAGCAGGTGATGACGGTTGGACTGAGGATACTGTCCTGAAGAGCTGCTACAGTGATATTCTTTACCTCAGAAGGTTGACCTCCAACAATCGCCATAATCCTGTTTGCTAAGTATGACTCCAACCAGCGGAGATTTTCCCCCTGATTTCCATTCAGTCTCATCTTACTAGAGCTTTTTGATGCCACACTTTGCCCGTGACATCAAGGTTATATTTGACAATCATTCCCATCTCACCACTGGAGTTCTGCTCTTTTGTCCATTGTTGAACCAAGACTATAATGGTAAACTAATCCAAAATGGTATTTGCATTTACATATGCAAGACAGATTGGTAAGTCAGCTGTATTTAATAAACTGGAGAGTGTAGGAATATTTTTATTGTTAAAATCTAATTACAATTTTGTTTTCTATTTCTACAGAGTGGAGGTTCTGATGTGTCTGATTATGTCAAGGGAGAGGATATCTTAGATATTTGGTTTGATAGTGGCACCTCATGGGCACATGTATTAGAAGGTGAGAGGTTAATATTTATGATGGTTATACATTGTAAGGAATCATTCATTGTTATGCTCAAAATTATTGACCATAAGCTAAAATTAACTGAAAACTTAGCTAAAAATGCAGCAGACATGTTATAAAATAAACATTACTGACCAAGTCAGAGGGAGGTTTTTAAAAATTCAATCAGATGACTTTATTTTCTTCCCAGTGATGAGTAGTCAAGAACTTATAAAAATGTATTTTGTCATTACATAGTTGCCTCAATAATTAATGCTAATTGTTGAAACAATTTCACAATTAGGAACTGAGCCATAAGTCAGTTCAATGGTCATAATTATACTATTTTATGAACGATAAATTTGTAAAAGTAGTAGAAATGTGAGTGCAAAGTAGCCTGTCTTTGTGAATTTCATCATAAGATTCTGGGAACAAATGCTTTGATCAGAGGCTTATTACAGTTATATATACATTTAGTTTCATTATTACAAAACAGGAAATCCCTGGCACCTTGACCTTGAAACAACCTTTCCTTACACTTAGTAAAATCTTAGCTTATCACTGGAATTAATGCTGAAAGACCGATGTGAAGATCGAAGCTTCAACCCTGTTACTGATCCTTGCCCATTTAGCTGTTTGTTGCTTTTCAGGTGAAGTAAGTTACCCAAGTGCAATAAAGTATCTTGCCTGTTAAGTGTACGAAGTTGAGACTGCATTATGATCACTGAGCCACTGATCCATTTCCTTCATTATTGCTATCTATATCTTTTCCTTTTAATTGGTAAATTTCCATCTTTGTTACTCACCAAATTTGTTAAGCGAAACTTTTTTTTCTATTCAGCCACTCACGTTACATGGTAGAAAAATTATACTCAGGCTCATTCTAGCCAAATATACTCTGAGAACAGCTTCCATGTGAATTCTTCTCCCACTTCTACCTTATTAGCTCTTGTGTATAAAAAGAGGATGGTCCTGACAATACCTCTTAAATGGTGCTCCAATAATTTCTTAAATAAAAAACAAAATACCGTGGATGTTGGAGATCTAAAATGAGAAGAGAAAGTGCTGGTGAAACTCAGCAGGTCTGGCAGCATTTGTGGAAAAAGAAACAGTATTAACATTTTGTGTCCAATATGATTCTTCTTCAGAACTTCATTCTAAAATTTTAACGCTTTTTCTCTCTACACATATGGCAAACCTGCTGACTTTCACCAGCACTTTCTCTTTTTATTTCAGATCTCCAATATCCACAGTATTTTGCATTTTAATTAACAAATTAAGACTTCTGACATCAGAAGTCAGCTGGCTGGATGATGTATAGGAAGGATGGTACAGTAAAGAATCCCTGTGGTTCAGATGTTGCACAGCATTTGTGGAGAGAGAAAAACAGTATTGACATTTTTAGTGCAATCACATTCTTCTTTGAAACTTGGTTCTGAAATTTTAACTCTTTCTCTGTCCACACATGTGCAGATCTGCTGAGTTTCTCCAGAATTTAATGTTTCTACTTTAATGGCTTGTTCCCTTCCCCATCTCCTGCTCCTTCTAATACCATCCTTCCAAAACAGGGCAGTGGTACCACGCCTTACGCCGCCTTACCTGTACATCATTCAGCAAACTGATGTCTGATGTCAGAAAGTCTCAAATGTAACGCTATGGTATTAATGGTAGTAACATGTGGTAGTCACTATAAAGACTATAGTTTTAGGAATTTGACATAACAGTGTATTTTTCATTGGAATTGTTGTTCAATGGATCATTCCCAAGAATTAGGACATTGGGGTCCAGATTAACTGGACTTCTGAATGTGAACCTCTCTTGCTCCCCTTATAAATTAACCCTTATTTATTGTCACCCAATAACAGACCTAACCACACAATGGAAGTGTTAATCTTCTGCAGTATATTTTGGGTTTAAGTTATTAGTCTCACTTAATTTATCTTTCTTCAGTTGGTAACTTGAGATTTTTGTACACATCTTGGTTACACATGAATTAATGATTTCACAAATGAAATAATATGTTGTAACAGAAGAGGAAGCTTTCAGAAGCATTTTAAATTCTTGCATGTTTGCTCTTACAGTGGAGGGGAGAAAGGTATTGAAGTGGAAGTCAACAATGATCATATTGAGTGGTGAAGTGGACTTGATGGGCTGAATTTCCACATATGGAGCCATCTGTAATTGCAATTTGGTTCTTAAATGCAGAGTTATAATACAGAGTTAGTATAATCCACTTTGTATCATTCTGATTGCAAATCAGTAGACCAGCTTCCCTACTTAATTGAAACTATTGAACGGTATCCAATATTGTAGAATTATTTTCTCTTCACCAAGGTGGTATATGAAAAGGAAGTAAAAACAGTTTACCTCCTGACCAGCTCTTAAGGGTGTCTGTATCTTGATAAATTCTGACAGCAGCAGCAAGTCTACTTTAACCTGGTGAAGTAATCCAGACTTTTGACACTCCTAGGATTCCAACTCATTTCTGTCTCCCTTAGTTGAAGTTTAATCCTAGTCAAAGGACCCACGTCAGTTTTCGATTATTTTGCTTGATTGGATAAATTAACTATTTTCCTTGCTCACTCACCCTTTATTCACACTGCGTATTAAATGCTAGCTTTCCAATTGTAGACTAATTATGGTAAATGATAACTGCAGAGAAAAAGTTCAGTACAGCTAAATAGGTGAGACACTGATTTTATTCTCAAATTGCTTTGTAAATGAAATGAATATCATTCCAACACTGCAAATCAAGTTCATCTGTGAGTCTGTCATGTCGAGATATACAATTGCACTGGAACTAATTTCCAAGTAAGTATTAATTGAGGCTAAAACAGAAATTGCTGGAGAAACTCATCAGGTCTGGCAGCAACAATGTGAGAAAGTAGAGTTAATGTTTTGAGCCCAGTGAAGAGGAGTTATTTGACTCATAATGTTAACTCGGCTTTCTCTCCAAAGATGCTGGCAGACTTGTTGAGTTTCTGCAGCAATTTTTGTTTTTGTTTCAAATTTCCAGCATCTGCATTTCTTTATAATATTTAAGACTATTAGGAAGAATATTACCTAAATAATCTACTATAGGTGTCTTCAATGTGACAGCAAGACCAGAAACACGCTCTGTTGCCATGCATACTGAGGGTAACCTGGGTTTACCATGAAACTGTGAAACCGTGAAACCTGTTCCTTGGATTCTCAGCATCAGATGTTCAGTTATAACGTTATGTTACTTTGAAAGAATTTATAGTGTGCCAGTGATACGCAAGAATCATTCTTAGCAACATATTCATAGGGCATGGAATATAGCAGACAAACAATTATTATCTTTTGTTCGGTCAAGTTTCCTTTGGAGTCTGACTAAATTTAGTCATGGACATGGGAGAATCAAATAAAAAGAAACCACCTTCAGTCTTTGCATCTGCCATTCTCCCAGGGCTTGTTGCCATCATCAGCCCCTTGATTCAAGTATGATGTCCACTCCAGATTGGGAGTTTCTGGCCTGTATCTTTGTGTGACTGAACATGCTAATTCTTGATCCACATATCTCTGAGCATGAGGTAGGAAGGTCTACGAGTCATGGGATCCAAAGAGCCACTGCTTTTCCTCATCATTAAGGTGTTTGGACATGCAGCTTGGATGTCACGTTATTGCCATGTAGCAAGGTTCTCTGTCACTAATGTCAATGCTGCTGCAACTCCAGGACAACTGCAGAGTGTCTTTGTAGCATTTTCATTGTCCTCCTTTGGAATGCTGGCTTTTCGAGAGTTGAGATGAAAAAACAGGACCTGACTGGAGATATGCTTTTCAGCCATGCTGATACAGTGTCCAGTCCATTATCATTGATTTTTAGGTTGTTTGTCTGAATACTTAGAGTTGGCTTCAAGAACGACACTTGTATTTGCTCAACAGAGCTCCCGTTGAATACAGAGAATGTGGTGAAATTGCTGGTGGAATTTCTCTGGCTCTTTTGTGTGTTCATTGCAAAGCCCATGCAAAACAGGAATGTAGTGATGACAACTTCTGTATACATCGGAATTTTTGTGGAATTGTAGTGAACATTGTCAAATATTTGCTGACATAGTTTGTAGAAGGTTGATCTTGCACAGCTGATCTGGTGTTAGATCTCCTCACCAATGATGAACTTTTGAGAGAGGTGATTGCCAAAGTATAGGAAACACTCAGCATATAGATCTGTAGTGATAGGACTTTCGTTTTGGCTGCATTTAAGGTCAGCACAAATCTCTTGTATCCAGAATTGAAGAGATAGCAAGTGTTTTGCAAATCCTGCTCAGAGTAAGCAATAACTCTGCACTCGCTTGCAAACTATTTATCATGTGTGTAAATGGTGATCAATTTAGTTTTGATACAGAGGCGATTGGAGTTAGACTGTTCCATCTTGGTGGAAGTTAGTAAGGACATCACCGAGCAGTTGATCTTTGTTGAGGTGGGTAGCTGTTGTTAGATAGCTTGTAAATAGTTTGGGGTTATTTCACAGCCTTGCCTGACACGGTCCGGGTTTTAAAGGTGACTATTCCAGATGTTGCAGTCATATCATTGAACGAAGAGGTATTTCTTCTCTGAGGGCAGTGAATTTGTGGCATTCTTTAACACAAAGGGCTATTGAGGCTAGGCTGTTAAGTATGTTCAAGGCGGAGATAGACAGATGCTTAATCGATAAGGGAATCCAGGATTATAGGGCAAAGGCAAGAAAGTAGAATTGAAGATTATTAAATTGACCATGATCGCACCAAATGGTGGAGAAGACTTGATGGGTACATCTTATGGTCTTTACTTAGCACAGTTGCAAGATTGAGATGATGTTTTTGGACATGCAAATTTCTGCAGTACAGTCCACAAATCCTTGCAATTTACTTGCGTCAAATGCCTTAGTCCAATTAATTACTGCAGTGTGGATTTTATGGTAGTGTTCTCAACTTTTTTGTTGGATTTGTCTAGCAACAAAGAGCATGTCTGCGGTATCTGTAAAAGGTCTAAAGCCCCACAAGCCCATGAGTATG